AATAATTCTATTCTTTCATATACAACCCAATTATCTGAATAATTGAAATGACTTTGTATAATTTAATGTGATTTTTGAACAATTATTTATTCAATTTTATGAAGAAATATAGATGTTTCAAAGTGTTAAATTAAATAAAAGGATTGTAAAAGACTGTTCAAAATATCAAAATTAAAAATAGTAATTTGTTAAATGACTATTAAATCTACATATTATAAATATAACTCTTTAAAAACATTCTTAAAGAAATTTTTTGTTAATAATACCTTTTATTTTACAAGGTAATTGGTAATAGTTAAAAAACATATGTTAGCTAACATTCTTGTATTGTTTTGTTATTTTCAAGTAACACCATTTTAATAATTAAACTGTTTGAAATGATTAATACATTTTGTATATTCAAATAAATATTTTACTGTTAATATCAATTGTTATCATATACAATACAACTTTTATATTCTTGATTTTGAATTAAGAAATTAAACTTTCTCTTTTATAATATGTCATAAATATCTATTTTATTTGTTATTATCAATTCAGATTATCAATGTTTTTAACATCATCAAAATAATCAAGGAATATGTTAAGTAATGAAATAATATAATAAAAAATTTGTAATATATTATTATTTTTTAGATTTTATAACAAATCTTTCATTTTTATTTAATATAAGAATAAAACAAATTATTTATACTATACATGCAAAGCATGCTTCGGTATGTTGAAATATTCAAATATAAATAAAATTGTAAATGAAAAAGAAATGTCTATGAATTGATTATTTGGGATTGAATAACCACATTTTTTTCTTTTTTTCATCCTAAGTCATAAAACTCTTTTTAACTCCAACAGCTTGGTTATAAACTTAAGGAAGTGGTTCATTAAAGAATAATAAATAAACAGTTTAGACAAATTTATAACCATTATGTATCAGGATTTGGTGTTTTGTTAATTTAGTAATTGTTATATATATCAAACAACAAAAAATAAAAAGAAATAAACTGTTTATCAACAGAATTTATTCAATGAGTCGTCAAGGGAGATATGAAGAAGCAGGTAATGAGTGTGTTGATGCATGCCCACCACCTGATAAAGGAGAAGAGAAAGAGATGAGTATTTTAGAACCGCCTAAAGAAATTAATAGAAAAATGGAGGAAGTGATTAAAAAGTTAAAAAGTTCAATACAACTGAAAGTCCAACAAGACATAATAAGAGAAATAAGAGAAAAGAAGAAGGAAGAAACCCTAACTAACGAAGAGCCAATGCTAATTCATAAAGAGGTTCAAATACCAATAGATCAAGAAACAATAAATGAACAAAATGAACTGAAAGTCATAACGAAAGACAAATATGATAATACAACTCAACAAAGCAATGATAACCATACTGATAATGATATTACATTGAATAAAAGAATTGATGAGAAAGAAAATGAAATCAGAATGAGTCAATTACAAAGTTATGAGAAAGATGAAATGATTTTAAAAGAACAAAAGGAAGAAAAAGAAAATGGAGTGATTAAAAGTAAATTTCTGTTTGTTGGTCCAATATATGGGAATTATATTGTTCATCTATTTGAAAAAATAGAAAGAGTAATAAATAAGAAAGGAGAATTAAAAGCAGTTATAATATTAGGTCTTATTCATAACGAAGAAATTATCATACCAGAACCTCCATGTCCGATTTATATATTAGCAACACCTTCTACTAATCAATTAAAACAACCAATTCCAACAAACGTATATATATTAAATGGACTTGGAGATTTAAAGATTGGTACATTTACATTAGTTTATAGTAGTATTGATGAAGCAGAAGATGATGTTAGTTATCAAGAAACTAAAGACTTAGCAACAAAATATTATCTTCAGAAGAGTTGTGATTTCTTTATATCAACATATTGGCCATCATATATTCTTAATGAATTAGATAATAACGAAAAACCAGCGTTTCATGTTGACTATTCTTATGTTGCTTCAATTATTGCACGTGCATGTTGTCCAAGATATCATCTTACAATTGGAAAAGAATATTATGAAAGAGTTGAGTTTACTAATAAAACAGAACCTCGAATGCAAAACAATAACTTAATTTATCCTACTAAATTTTATTCTTTAAATCCTGAGACAGAAGAAAGAAATTTAAAGTCAATTATATTCTTAAAACTTATTTCAGTAGAAGAAGGTGCGTTACAAAATAACACAAGAATTCTTGGAGTTAATCCTTATTCTGACATTAAACTTACTCAATCTAAATTTAACGAATTCAAAAAGCCATTATGTCAATCTCATGTAACTATTGTTTCTTCAATACCTACAAATAAACAAGAAAACCGTCAACATGTTATAAGTACTTCTGAAACTAATAAAAAGTCATTATATCCTCAAAATTATAAAATTAATAATTGTTGGTTTTGTTTATCAAATTCAAAAAGTGAATTAAAACTTATTATATCTTGTGGATATTATAACTATTTATCTTATACTAAAGGTCCATTAATTGATAATCATTTTCAACTTATTCCAATTCATCATATTCAGTCTTATAAAATGATGTCACTTGTTGGTTTATCTGAATTAAATAATTATTATACTTCATTGAGAAACTTTTATCGTGTAGAGAAAAAAGAATTTATTGTTTTTGAAACAGTTGTCATGAACCAAAACTCTCAATGTCATACATTCCTTCAAATCTTTCCATTTGAATTAACTAAGAGTGAAGATCTTATCAAACACATTGTTAGATTCATAACTCCATTAAATGGACAATGTCAACTCATTCAACTCTCAAACCCTATTGCCTTTAATGAAATTCCATCTCAAACAACATACATTTATTTCACTCTCTCTGGAATTGTTAGTTATTATTTCATTGTACAAAACCAAATTAAACCAACAATAGCAAGAGAAATAATGGTAATGTGGTTCAATTTGCCTGACCGGTTGATATGGAAACAATGTCAAGAAGAATACTCAGTAGAAGAGAGAAAAGCAAGGGATTTACGCCATATGTTCTCAAACTTCGACACAGTAATTTAACTATAACTTATTGATACCTTTACTATAAATTTATCAGATTCAAATAATTCACAAAAAATGAATTTTATAAAAAATGAAAAAATCTTATTTCTATCATTTTACGATGAACAACCAATTCTCTTCATTTCAATCTGGTCAACAAAATCCCTTTGGAACTCCAAACAATACTACACAACCTCAATTTGGTACAAATTCTTCATTCGGTGGATTTAATACTAACCAAACGTCGGGAACAACTAATCCGTTCAATTCTACTGGAAGTTCAACCTCAGGAGCAAATAACCCTTTTGCTACTACTCAAAACAATACAACAACTCCTTTCACAACAGGAACAACTAACCCATTTAATACTACTAACAATACTACTAACTCAACAACTAATCCATTT